AGATGAAAGAAACAATGCATGATTGTTATGGGGGTAAGAAATCACTTTCTGCTTGACTTTGACTCCTTCTCCATAGTGCAGAATGCATGCCTAATTAAAATTCCAAGGCTGGGGAGATTATAGGCCCTGAGGTGAGGGGACCTACTACTGTTGTTTTGCTAAATGGCCATGGTGTCAAACTGCTTCTTAAGATTTGTATTTATATTCATAGATTAGTGCTGTTCTCATCCTTGGTTAGAGAAGCTTCTTTTGGCAGTGGACAGAGATTAATATAGACACTCATAACTGGTCAAAGTGCTGAGAATAAGTGACCGTTGAATGCTCAGGCCCAAATTGGACATCAATATGCCCCAATCCCCAAGACCTAGGGAATACTGTCAGAGAAAGAGGGAAAAAATTGTAAGAGCCAGAAGATGGGGAGATATTTTGTGACATGCTGTCTTCTGGACATGATGTGGCTGTCACACTCATGAATTCACAGGAGCTGTGGTTGCCTGCTTAAGATTGAGTTCATCAGCATTCCATCATGGATGAGTGGCAGGTTCATGAAGCTCCACCCCTAGTTGATAGCTGCTGGCAGGAAGAGAGTCATTTAACTTCGGAGGTGTAGCCACTGGTAAGTTTCCCATGTTCCAATAAATAACCCCACATCTATGCTCATTTAAGCAACCCTAATTAAGCTCAGTGGCTCATAGAAAGAAAAGGAAGGGGGACTTGTTGGAAGAAGAAGGGGCTTATAGGAACTAAGAGGGTAAAAGAAGATAATAGTGGGTGAATATGGTCATAATACACTTATACCATGTATGAAATTGTCAAAGAATAAAAAAAAGCATTGGAAAGAGGACCAGGTTTCACTATCTGATTTCAAACACGGATCCCAGAAAGGCTGAAAAATTTAATAGAAGCCATACAGACAGCAAGTAACAGATCAAGACATAGAATCTAGGCCTCTTCCTTTCTAGATCATTCTGGGGAAAAAAGAAGTCTAATAAAATAAGACAACTTTTTTTTTTCTTAGTCATGATCTGGTAGTATTAAATAGAACAAAATTTTTTGAGTAAACCAAGATCTCTCTTTTATTAGTGAAAGTGAATCCAATACTACTTGTGGCTCTGTCAGGGAGAAGTCTGATAAAGAGAAATGAATTGTTTTAATAACACTGGCATTGAGCACAAAACCAGGACCGAGACAGCTAAGAGAGGCATGTGTGAGGCATTTGAGAGTACAGCTGGTATGGGAAAGTGGCCATAAAGCTCAGTGGCAAATGTGAGAGAGGGAAAAGCCAATTGGTGGAATTACTAGCTGGTGAGTACCCAACTGAAGCAACGATGCCAGGATGAGTGCAGTATAGAGACTGCTTGCTAGATGCTGCTTTCTCATCAGAAATTTATTTTGTGAACAGAAGACATTGACATGAACACTGTGTCCAAACACCTGCCTGAAATCTTTCCATATGTGTGCATTTTGATAATTCCATGCTACCATGATCTAAATATTCATGTTTCTCAAAATTCATATGCCAAAATCTAGTTACCAATGGGATGCAGCCCTCATGAATGGCATTAGTGGTCAGTTTATGAAAAGGCCCAGAGAGCTGCCTTGCATTTTCCACTACAAGAAGATACAGCAGAAGCTGCCATCTGTAAACCAGGAAAGGAACCCTTTCCAGACACTGAATCTGCTGAGGTTTTGATGGTGGACTTTCCAGGCTCTAGAACTAGAAGAGGAAGAGATTGCTCTTCTATATAAGCCCCCCAGCTTATGATAATATTACAGAAACTAAATCAAATGGACTAAGATGCATGAGAAAATTTACTTTACTTTTAAGAGGTCGCATAAAAATGCTATAAATGAAACACCAATAAAAGTACTCTTTTTTCCTGTTCTATAACTTCAAGGTTATTTCAAGGTTATTTCAAGGTTATCAGGAAACTCAGATTGGGTTTTCAGGGTACATTCATTGGATAAGTGCAGGAAATGGACTTAATGAACAAATCAAAAGGAGAATAAAGAGTTAGCCCACTTTTCCAGTGATAACATTTTGATGGCTTACTATAAATGGAAAGAGTGAAGTTTTAAATTGAAATCATTCACAAAGACACAATTTTGAATGGGAAGTGAAAATACAATGGTCATAGGTGAAGAAGCAGCTTATCAATGGAAGACAACACCATCTCAGAATGCCTGAATATCATATAGACTATGCTAGTCACCTGCTAATCAAATGACTTAAAGAGACATGAGCAAGGGAGGCTCAGAGATGATTCTATGAACTCATACTCAGACAAGTTGGGGAGGACAGTTCTTCAAAGTGCCTGGCTAGTCACATTGCCAAGTGAGCAGTTGTGAAATTCACCCAGATTTCTTTACTTATAAATGGCCCCCTGTGGCATATTTCTTTTTTTCCAAATTGCTTTTTAAATTTCTTCTTTCATCATATCTTTTCAGATTCTTGTCTCCTAGCTGTCATCTTTCAACATCTTCTTCCTTTAGTTTTTTTGGGGTTTTGTCACATATAGAAACACCCACACAGTTCTCTCTTGCCTAGCATGAAAGAGTATAAGGTCTTGAACTATCAAACTCATTTATGGAGAGTCACAGTGCTTAACAACATAAATTGGCAAAGTTCACAGAAAACACATACATACAATAGGTTAAGTTGATCATTGTAACATCTGTCACTTACATAAAGCTGTGCGACAGTCTGACATATTTTACTGTTAAATATAAGATTTAGCTATCTGCCAGAAACTTTGAAAGATCAAATTGCATTCATAATGGTTACAAATTCACAGGTTACTGTGACTTGTGCATGTGCTGTGCTGACTGGTGTTCCTGCTCTCAGGAATCCCTTTTGTGTGTATATTCCCTTAATATGTAATATTTCCTCAGAAATGGGGCATAGTATGTGTGATTATTTTTCTTCTTAAGCTATATTTCCAAGATTTTCAGACTCTAAGTAAAGGCTATGTAGGAGGAAGTGTGGCCTGAACAACCAGCGCATGCGCTGCTGCAAACACACCAAAAACATCTGGTTGAGTTGAACCTGTATTCTGCCAAAGGACATAGAGACAGCTGATGCAAGATAGCTCGACATAGAGAGCCAATGAGGATCAGACACAACCCAAGAAGGCCTACTGGGGCCATTGGGACATTGGGATGGGTATATAAGGCAGTCCCATGTCCGCAATAAATGAGTGTGCAGCTACTCACTCTGCCTGCTTCTCACCTGACTCCCAGTATCTGTGTTGTGACTCCACACCAACTCTACCCCCACTAGGAGGGTCCCAGGGCACTCGCAACATCTGGCGCCCAACGTGGGGCCCCTTTGCTGGCATGGGCATTGACCCTGCTTGGGTTCTGGCTACTGCAGTCATGGCTGCCTTTCTTTTTTGGACCATGATTTTTGCACTTTTCTGCTGGCGGTCCATCAATCGTTCCTGAGATTGGCTTTAGTTTAGTTTTCTCTACCCGTGACCACCTGGGCACTTCTCCCCCCTTTCTCCGGCATTGTGAGACGCCCCCCATCTGAAGTTCCAGTAAGGCAGACCCTTTGTGTTCTCTGTACCTTGGGTCCTCTCGTGGGTGACTGTGGGGACCCCCTCCTCTCCTTTCCCTCTGTCTGTTGGTTAGGGAGGAACATAATTTCCTTTTGGTTCATCAGGTGCCTCCACATAAAGGCTGACCCCCTAGGAGGTGGAACCCAGGAGCGGCCCCTGACTGCCTGCCCCTTGTCCGGAGATACTGTGTGGGCATACGGCTGTGGCCTGATGAACCACAGAAGTTCCCCACTAAGCACAAGACATTCTGGGTCCAACACACTCTCTTGTTTGTCTTAGCTCCCTCCCATCATGGACAACCTACCCACTCATTGTGGGGAGGCCCAAATTCGGGCCCTTAAATCCCTCCTAGTCACATGGGGTCTCAAGGTTAAGTCCAATGACCTGGACACCTTCTGGAACGAGGCTACCATCATTGCACCATGGGTGACCCCTGAGAACATGTGGAACCCTGACCTCTGGATGCGTGTTCTTTTCCTTGTTAGGAAGCACAAGGTCTCCTCAGGTGTCATCTGGCCTGCCTCAACTCCTCCTCTCTGGAGGATGTGATCTCAGCCCACAATAAACACTGTCAGGAGCAGGCCACTGTCAACTTGTCCATCTCTCCTCCCCAAATGGGACTCGATGATGAGGAAAATGAGGAGCCACCTGGTGCCTTGGCACCACTGGCCAGTCCTACAATCCCCTGGACCGGTGACCACTCTGCCCCCTAAATACCCTTGGCTGGAGATACACTCCTCACATGACCCTACTACCCTGGAGCCATCCTGCTATGCCCCCCTCCCTTAAGTCACCCACCCACACTTCCCCTATTGCCAGGACTTACAACCTGGCCCATCTCTGCCTTCCCCGTCAATCTGGGTCCTAATGCTGCTAACCAGCCCTGGGTGCCCACCCCCTGGTGGACCTCTCCCTTAGTCTTAAGGCTGCCAATGAATCCGGTCCTGACTCTCCTTACTTTGAACAAGTCCTCTGACAATGGGCAATGCAACGCCAAACACATTATGTCTGGTACAACCTCCTCAAGGCTGTGTTGGACCCCTCGGCCTTCCTGAGATGGCGTTCTGCCTATGATGATCAGACTGAGACTCAGGCCCCCCTTAATCTCCAGTCCGGGCTTCCTGTCTCCCTGGACATGCTTACGGGCAGAGGCCTGTGTCCTATTCTCACCTTCCTGCCTATTCACAATGCCTCCTTGGGAGGAATTCTTTTGGTCCTACTCATCCTTGTCAAGTGTCTCAGCATGCCCGATGACAAAAACGTGTCAACAGAGCCACATTCCAGGTCCTCTTGACACCTCAACACACAGGCTGTGATCCTCCCCGTGAGGTCTTACAGGTCTGGTTCATGGAAGACTGTGAGGCCTCTGTATAATTGCCTTCCCCAATCACCCTGGTGGGCTCATACCAAGGGAAGCCACCCTTTGAGGGCCAGTAATCAATGACGGGTAAGAACTTGTATGACAAGTCAACCTAAAGACAGGGAGGGTCCATAATGCTGGGGGCCCCCTGAGGTGGGGTCAACAATGACAAGGCTAAAAATCTTGGCTCCCACTACAGCTTCACAAAAAGAAAACGGTGGCTATGTAGGAGGAAGTGTGGCCTGAACAACCAGCACATGTATGCTGCAAACGTGCCAAAAGCATCCGGTTGAGTTGAACCTGTGTTCTGCCAAAGGACACAGAGACAGCTGATGCAAGATAGCTCAACATAGAGAGCCAATGAGGATCAGACATGACCTGAGAGGGCCTACTGGGGCCAATGGGACATTGGGAGAGGGGTATATAAGGCAGTCCCATATCTGCAATAAATGAGTCTGCAACTGCTCACACTGCCTGCTTCTCACCTGATTCCCGGTGTCTGTGTTGTGACTCCGCGACAACTCTACCCCCACTCGGAGGGTCCCAGGGCACTCGCAACAGGGTTAGAGTGAGCAAGGAATACAGTCAAGTTAGGTGGGTATCTGAGCCATGAAGTATAATCATTGAAAGATGTCGTTTTTATTTAGGAATTAGGAGAGATTCAACTCAAGTAGATTCCCAGTCTATGGCCTCACACCTGACTCTCCAGGGTGCATTTTCCCATGTAGACTGGTCTCCTCTTGGTTTCTTCAGTTAAGACCACATGTTCTTTCTTCCCCAAATATTTTTGCTTACTAGTGTATTTCCTGAGCTGTTTTCATATTACTCTTTTCCCTTCTGTGAAATATTTTTGTTATTTTTTGTTTTGTTTTGTTTTTTTTTTAACTTGAGACCATCAAGTTGTAAAGATTTTTGTTTCTGTCTGGCAGTTGTACCGCAACAAACTGTCAACTTGAGAAGAATGAATTGACAGCTTTTATTTGTTTTTAAAATTAAATCATTCCTTGATAAGAGTTACGGGTATGTTAGGGGTTGGTCCTTGGCCACTATAGTTTGATATCATTTCTATCTTATTATCAGGCCTGTTACTCTCTCCATCTCTGTGTGGGTGTTTTAATAGAATACATTGATTTTCTACTTTAAAAATGAAGACCAACAATAGCTGAGAAGAAAGCAATTTGTGTCATGCTCTACCATGTCAACACTCAAGTTAAAAAGGTTTGCATCACACCCTCTGATGTCACAAAGTTTTTGAAATTTAAAGCAACATTTACTTTTCAATAGCAAAGTATTCTTTTCTTCTAAATCACCATTTATTTTGAAATTTAAACAATTTTTTCATTATTCTTGAGATTTCATATTAAATATGGAAATGTGCTGTTACTCTTTTCACCCTTGTCCTATATAGCCTGTCTTCAACACTGTAACCAAAGCAATCATTTAACTATCATGACAGTCCATTCATCTCAAAAACCTTCCAATGGCGTTCAGTGGGACTTTCTACCATGGTGGAATTATTTTATGTCTGCTATGTGTAATATGGTAGCCACTGGCCACCATGAGCTGTCAAGAGGCATGGTTCCTGAGCACGTGTGATTAGGGCTGTGGTATTCAGTGGTACATTTCCAGCAGCTTGTTGGTGAGGTCTTACAATGTCTGCCATGGCCTCTTCCATGTCTCTGACATTGCTCCTTGGTGTTCCCTGCTCTTTATCGTCTACATGGTCTTCCTGCTCCTTGTTGATTATTCTGTGTTCAGTGTTCTTTCCTTAAATATCTTCATGTCTCAGTCTCTTACTTGCTTTAATTGCAGTGTTTAGAACATTTACATTTTATGTGCTATTGATTTAAATCTATGCATCTAAACCTCCCATCTCACTGTTTGTTTTATATTCGTGCCATCTGTTCTTTGCTTCCCCCTCCTCCATTTTCACCTGTTTTTTTCTGAGCTTTCTAAGATGTTCTTTGCTTGCTTCTTTTCTTTAAAAAAAATTATTTCACAAGCATGTGTGTTATGATGCTTGCATGTGTGTAAGTGCACCGTGTCATGCAATGCCTGCAAAGACAGAATGGGCATCGGATCCACTAGAGGAACCTGTGACAGACAGACTCAATGAAGGGATGGTAAAGTAAGAAAAGAATGAGACTATGACCACTATATTGGTTTGTTACAGCTATAACACATTTCTACAAACTTAAAAAGCAACACAAATGTATTGTCTTACAATTATGTAGGTCAGAAGTTTGAAGTGGGTATTGTGATAACCACAATGTTGTGGGGGGCCACATTCCTTCTGGAGGACACAAGAAAGAATCCATTTCTTTGCATTTTGAGCTCCCAGAAGCTCCCCACCCTACATTCTTTACCTCTTGACACCCTGTTTCTACCCTTCCAACCTCTGTTTCCATCATGACAGTTCCTTCCCCGGCTCACCCACCTCCACTTCCACATTCTCATAAGGACTCTTGTGAGTCTATTGAACCAACCCAAGATAATCTCTCCATTTTAGGGCCCTAATTTAAATGTGTCTAGAAACTGCCATAGTCACAAAGTAACCTAGTCGCAGGTTCTAGGTATTAAAATACGGAAGTTTTTGCGGGGGGCGGTATTTTTGAGACAGGGTCTCCCTGTAGCCCCAGCTGACCTGGAACTTGATATGTAGACCAGACCAGGCTAGCCTTGAACTCACAGAGATTCATCTGCCTCTGCCTCCAAGTGCTGGGATTAAAGGCATGTGCTACTATACCCAGACTATGTGGACTATTTTTTATTGAGCGGAAAATAGTCTCACTACCACAGACTCGCAAAATAGATTTCAGAGATGAAAAGTCACACATGGGTAGTGACACATAGAGGATAGCACATATGGCTAAAAACAATAAAACTATTTAAAGACAAATATATTATTTAAGTTACTTTTATTTATATCACCCATTTCTGCACTTTCTCAGCTGGTATAAGCTGTTAAGAGTCAATGCTACTTGTAAAAAAAATAATGAAGCCACCACTCAGGTGTATATATACCATGGACTGTTTGTGCCACCTGCAATTTACATAGGAAAATTCTAATACCAGATGGGATAGTGCTAGGTGTTAGGGACTTTGTGAAGTAATTAGGTCATGTGGGTAGAACCTCCAACATGGGATTAGTGACCTTATAAGAGGCACAAGAGACAACTTGCTTTCTTTCTCTGTTCTCCATGTGAGGCGAAAGCCATCTGTAAACTAGGAAGTGGACCATCACCCAACCCCAAATTTGCCAGCACTTGGACTTCCCAACCTTTAGAACTATAAGAAAATACGTCTGTTGGTTAAACAACCTGTCTTTGGTGACTTGTAGCAGACCAAACAGACTAAGACAGTACGTAATTTCATTTAGCTGAAGTATGGACCCAGGTGCATGGGTTTCTAGTACTCCATTAGCCTTCTTGTGAACTAGTCTACATTCTCATAATTCTGATTGGCTCTTTTGTGTCACTGCTCGACAGCAAAATATTATGATTTCAGAATATCGGTATTTCAGAAGAAACCAATATTACACCTTAGGAGATTTTTGTTCAAACTAGTCATATCTCTTAAATTGACTTATGAAATCAGAGCACACAACACATTTAAAGAAAACTTCAGAGCATGTTGGCATTTTGATGTCTTCAAGCACAGTCTGATGGAGCCACAGTGAACATGGAGAGGAGGCATGATTTAAAGAAAGCTGTTGGACTACAGTGCTGCAAATACTATCTAAGGAGGCACTTCACAATTCATTTTTCTGTTTCTATATTTTCTAGTGTCTTATTGCTATCTCTCATTTCCAAAGACTATAAATGCTCCTTGGCAGTTTAGCATAATAAATTCCAACTCCATTGTTTCCTTTCCAAGACACTGACATTAACTTCTGCCTAACTGGAGAGAAGAAATTGCCAGGTTCCAGTAAGTGAGGAGGACAAGATGGGTGGTACTCCTGAGAACCTATCACAGATTCTTGTCTTTACCCATCATCTCATTCCTAGCAGTGTTATGTGAACAACATGACCTGTAAGTTCTTCTAACCTCTGAAGTTCATGCCAGACTCTGTCTGAACCTGGTTAAATTTGACTTTCCTGCTTATGTTAAGTTGTTAATTGGAGCATCCCATTTACATCAAAGAAACTGAAGAATGTTCCTCAGGACTTTTGCTCAGAAAAAGTGAGGTCTCTAGAACTGTTAGCACCATCACAGACCTTGGGTCATAGAAAGGACTAACTCTGCTAGGCACACAGAGAAGAGCAGAGAAAAAGAGGATAGTGGAGGGAAGGGCAGGAGAGGCGAGGGGAGGGGAGAAGGGGGAGAGGGAGAGAGAGAGATTTGCAGTTATTAATCCCTTGCTTTGCATAGTGAGGTCAGAGCACCAGGCACTAGGCATCATCTGAGTGTCAGATGTAGACTGCCCAGGCCTGTCAGGTCAGAGTCTGCATAGTGAAGTTTCCAGGTGTAAGGTGATTCGAGTGCAGGCGTGGCTGTTCACCCCCTTCCCTGTCCTGTAGTCTGGCAAGGGGCCAGGACCCCAGTGACTGGGTGGTCTGTGTCCCTTGTCCCATTTAGTCCCGGCCACTTCTCTCCACCCTTGGAAGAACCGTGGAGAGACTGATGCAAGGGCACCGCAGTTCTCCTCAGCAGCCCCCGCCCTTCCTGAGCTAAGTCAGATCCTGTCCTCCAATCCTGCGCATCTTTAGCTTCAGGAGCCTCCAGGGAAGCTTGGGAACTAGTGCCCCGCCCTGCGCTCCTTGTAACTCTGCCCCTCCTCCCACCCCCGGCTTTCCACAGAGCTCAGGATCCCACAGTTCGTTCCTGCGCTGCGATGGGGCGCCGGATGCTCTTGCTCATCTCTCCTGTTTTGGTCATGCTGGGCAGCCTCAGGCGCTCAGGGGCAGGTAAGTAGGGCCCGCAGGCCAGGGAGCCATCAGAAGGGTCCGCGCTCCAGTTTGCAGGGTGCAGGCCTCGGGGCGCAGGGTGCAGGATGCGGGACTTAGGGTTCAGAGTGCAAGGTGCAGGGTGCAGGGCTCAGAGCACTGGTAGCATACTAACCGCTCTGAGCGAATAAAAAGCAGAGAACTTCAGGAGCCCTCGCTATGTATGTGGCTGAGTATGTAGTCCCTAATTGTGAAGCTGAGCCTCTTGCGGGGACAACCTTGAATTGATGATTGTCGGGGTGAGGGGAGTAGGTGTGCCATTTGCAAACTAGCCAGTGGGTGGGAGGAGAGATGGCCTCAAGGGTAAATGCTTTCCCTCAATGCCTCCTCTTCTAGCAGGTAGGAAAGGAGCCCCCTCCACCCCCGAGTACCAGAGCCCCCTCCCTCTTAGGCCCTTCCTTCTTCAAAGTCCAGGTCTGGTAAGATTTACTTCCTAGCTTCTAGCTCTGCTTCCCACCAGGCGACCACATTTTCTAGGCACCAAGTATAGTCAAGAGGTGCCTATCTCCAAAAGCTACCCAGGGGTGGGAAGCCTCTTCTTGCCACACCTGTGAATGCCACATACAGGCAAACCCAAAGGCCACTGTGACATGGGGAGACTGATATTGTAGAAGGATTCCAGTAATCCCAGACATAGTTCCTTACAGTTGCTAAAATTCCTTTTGGGGATGGGAAGGTAAACATTGTCCATTCCCTCATCTCTTGGTCCCAATGACAAACCAGGTATTATTCCAGGAAAATGCACTCTAGGAAACCAATGAGTTTATTGATCTTACTTACAGAGCAATGGGTAAGGGTTTATTTACACAAGAATGGGTGCTCTGCTACCTAAGCCTGCACCAGAAAGGCACCTAAGCAGGGATGATGGCTTCCCCATAGCCACACAAAATGGAGAGGACAACCCTCCCCTAGTCTTCAGGAACCTATATACCCTAACCCCTCCCCCAGGCCACCTGTAATTAGGGCTGAATTACTCATCACAATGATTGGGAAGTATGGCTGTACTCTCAGAAGAGGATCTTAGGACTCCTCTATCCCCTCCTTCTGAGTAAGGGCACGAACAGTCAACAAGCTCAGCGGTAATGATCTTAAGTCAAGCAGGTGCAGTTGAGCCCAGGAAGATGGCTTGTATTGGAGGATAGTCTTATACAACACTTACTCAAAGGTATGGTCTACACGGCAGCCTTTCATAGCTATGCATAGTTGTTCTGGTAGTCAATAAAGTGCACATTGAATATCTTATCTGAAATGTTTCAAACTTTCAGAAGCATTTCAGATTAAAGTTTTTTTAATTACATATATATATAATTATCTGTGTGTCTCTCTATATAGCTATGGGTGATTGATTGTTGCTAGGAATAGAACTTTCTAAGTGTCCTTCACACTGTGCAGAGTCTTCCACTAGTACAGGTTATGTAGCTTATGTTTTCTAGGAACCAACAATTGACTTCCCCTCTCTAAAGTTAGGTCAATTAAGAGGTCAGGTGTCCTATTTCTTTCCTATAAGGAGACTCCAGATCACGCTTTTTGCTAACCATTAAACATTTGAGGTTAATAAATATATGTTTATGACTTGAATGAAACAGTATGTCAATCTTTTCAAATAACTGAAAATTTATAAATATTTATATTATAGCTATTAGAAGCATTGTAAAATAGATGATTTGGAAGACCTCAAACTAGAATCTCATTTGAACATGTGTCTGCATATTCTAAGAGCAAATGAAAGTCAAGTACTTTGAGCCTAGATCTCAAACATAACTTGTGAACACTCATACACCATGGCTTTGAGAGTAAACTTGAGTTGCAAGAAGTAGTATGCTGATGCATATTGGTACACAAATGTGAGTCTGACTCATTCTAATAGGAAAACAGAGCAGCAGACAGCCAGGCTCAGCAACAACTCTATGAGACCAGAAAGAACTGGTTCCCAAGGAATTTCTTAGAGAACTCACATGGGTTTGAAGGTTGCTTAGTGTTCCTAGTTGAAAGGTCTTCCGACATGACATTTGTTGGCTTTTTATCATGAAAAGGTGTTGTTTTCTGCCCATGGAAGCCAGAAATCCTCACAGCTCTGCTTCTTGGTACCCAACGTAGATGAAATGGAGTGTAACATGACACGGCAAGCCTCATGTGGTGAAAAATGCATTCCTGTGGCCTGGCTCTGCAATGGGCAGCAAGAGTGCCCAGATGGGTCTGATGAACAGTGTAGTAAGTACTTCCCAAAACTATCTTGAATCCAGCCCCAGATGCCAAGTTTAGGTTGAACATTCCTGATCTGAAAATCTGAAATGCTCTAAAATCCAAAGTGATGTTACAGTGGAAAATTCCACAGCTGACCTTGTGTGATGGGTCATAGCCACACAGCCGAAAGGCAGGTTCACTGGAAATAGTGTATAAAATTATCTTCAGATTATGTGTATAGCATGTGTTTGAAACATAAAATGTGCCTGGTAGAGCAGGCCTGTAATCCCAACACTTTGCGGGGGCAGAGATAGGAGGAGACAGCCTAGGCTATAGAGTAAATTCAAGGCCAGCCTAGAAAATTTAGTAAGGCTGTCCCAAAAAACTAAAAAGGTGTGGCTATAACCCACTGACAGAGCACTCTCCTAGCATGTACAAGGCCCTAGGTTAATCCCCAATTCTTAAAAATAAAAAAGATTTAAAGTTATTATAATACATACATACATAATATGAAATTTTTAAAAACTTTTATCTGAAGTACTTGTGAAGTCCCCAGCATCTTAGATAAGGGATACTGGGTGTGTGTTTGGTTCACAGCATCCAACCTCATGGTTTTCATCCTCTGAGGATATTTAAACATGATGCATGTTCTGAGTGGCTGCAGGCTCTCAGTGGGTGAAAAGCCGTATCTTCAAATGTTGGCAGCACCTTTGTCAGAACAATAAGAAAACAAACCCAGGGTTCTTGGTGAATATGACATTTCTTTATCCCACTTGCATATTCCTTGGTAGTAACTGTTACTAACTTAACATGACATATTTGATATCAAAACATGATGAGGACTCGATATAGCTCAGTGGTAGAGGGTATGCTTTGCTCAGCATGTGCAAGGCCCTGGGTTACATCCGTAAGACCAAATAATGAACAAAAATATGTAATTTTAAAAGTTGGACTAAACTTTTATGTTTGCTTTGTTCTGTGGCCCTCATACCTACTACTCTACCTCTCCAAGTTTGCTTGCTTCTGCCAGTAGAAATATGTGAAGGTCGATTTAAAGCAAAATCTACTAGTTCCCAAGTTGGCTTAGATCTTAATGTATTCTCAAACACCAAAGGAATTCAAAGAAATAGATTGCTGCAAGTACCAGCCACCTACAGGGGTTGAAATATATTTGAATCATTAAATTTAAATAAAATTCAAGTCTATCATGCTAGCTCTGCCTTTCAAGTACTCATTAGTCATGCATGACTAGGTACCATTTTAGACAGAACACATATGAAATATTTCTGTTGTCACAAAATATTTACTAGATAACAGTGTTAAAAACAGTAGGCAGAGTAAGCTTTGGAGGACTTTGGGGTGATCATCCCTTGTTATGGTGTATGGGATGATTAATCTTGATTGTCAACTTGACAGGATCTGGAATCATCTAGGAGACATATATCTGGGCAGGTCTGGAATGGTGTCTCCAGAGAAATTTAACTGAACAGGAAAGACCCACAGTGAATGTAGATGGCACCATCCCATGGGCTGGAATTGCAAACTGAATAAAAAGGAAAGAAGGAGAAAGTGAGTTGAACTTCAGCACTCATGGCTCTCCAGTTCATAACTGTGGATGCACTGTGACCAGTCACCTCACACTCCAGCCACTATGCTGTTCCTGCTATGATGGACTCTATCCCTTTATTAAACTAAGCCGAAAATAGATCCTTCTTTACTTAAGTTGCTTCTGTCAGGTATTTTGTCACAATAATGAGAGTAACTAATGCAACTGGGGTGCTGTATGATATTGCCAGGAGTAGCAGAAAATGGACCAGCATGTTCAGAGTTGGCACTGGTGTCAAACTGTAATTACTCCTTTGCGATCTAAAATATATCTAACATGAGACTCAACAAACTGACAAACTCATGAGGTCTCTAACTAGCTCATCCTCCTCCTTGCCTGTTCTTGAACCCCACTCTGTCCTGCAGAGGAATCATGTCGTGGACACCTGCATGCCTGGCAGTGTAACAATGGGCAGTGTATTCCCATTAGCTGGCTTTGTGATGGTGCTAGTGACTGTTTAGATGGTTCTGATGAAGTTAACTGTGGTAGGTACAGCTTGTGTTTTTAAACTGTGCTTATTTATGTACGTGTGTGTGTGTGTGTGTGTGTGTGTATCTGTGTCTGTGTCTGTGTGTCCATGCAAGACATTTGTGTGGAGACCAGAGAACAACCAAAGGGAGCTGGTTCTCTTTCCCCAATGTGACCTCAGGGATTGAACCCATGTCAACAGACTTGGTGGCAAGTGCCATCATCTTTCTACTTACTAGGAGCATTTATTAGCATCAACAGTATAAGAAGCATGCAACTGAGTAGCCCAAATGCTATATTGTCTCTGGTGTTATAAGAAACTCTCAAACCAATTTCTTTGTGTTGTTTTTCAAGATTATTCACTTTATTGACTTTGTGGACACTTCTTTGTGGAGAAAGTTCAATGTATAAAGTCACTACCATGTCCCCAATGGCTAACATCTCTCTAAATTACTGGTTTCATAGACCAAGTCTATGAGAAAGCTATAAGAGCCTATGTAGAGAAGCAGTCTTTTACAGTCTAGAAAATTCTGCCTCGCCCAGACAATTCCTGCCTTTCAGAGAGATTGACAGCATGTCAGGACCATGAAAGCCAATGTCTAAGGAAGTTGAGGTGCCTGGGTGGTTGGGAGCTCTGTGATGTACACCAAGACTGTGAAGACGGGTCTGACAAAGCGCGCTGCCTCCAGAGCTACTGCTTGTCAGGACAATGGCAGTGCCAGAACAAAGTGTGTGTCATGGACAGCCGGAGGTGTGATGGCCTTGACCACTGTGGTGATGCCTCTGACGAGGAGGCCTGCGGTGAGTCTCACATCCCCACTTTTGTTTCAAGGATAGGGTGTGTGTAGTACATGGGCTACTTTATTGCAAGCTGCATTTTAATATCTATGGCTGAAGCTGCTGGTTTTTTTTTTTCTTTTTAATCTAAAAACAGAATACTCCTTAGCAATAGCCAACAGCATAGTTATCCATGGAAACATAAAGAGATAATGAATAAAAACTCTTGTAATGTGTGTGCTAAGGAAGCATTGCCTAGAATGCTCCCAATAGTGATGGGCAATATGAAGAATACTTGAGCACCAGTCTATGAAGGAAGCCTAAGGAGAGATAACTCACATTCTCGTGTAGCAAATATGGATGGGGAGTATCTCTCTCTAAAGGGGAGAAAAATACCTGAAGAATGTGTGCTACTTTCTCTTCTAGTCCCCCATACAGGGTAGTTATGTCTCTGACATCTTGGTAAATAAAATACCATTCAGTTTGTCAAGAGTTAAAAAGCTACAAAATTTAACATACTTGGATTCTGACATTTTTATAATAAAGTGTTTCTAAAAAGGAATTCTTACTCATTTTAGGTCAAGTTACTGACTCTAGTACTATTTTAGTTCTAACTATTTAAACGAGATCAATCAGTTTTAAAACTATTTCAATCCAGGGCCTAGATGTCTTGCTATATTTCTGATCAAGTCTAAAGCCCCAATTCCCTGAAGAAACACTGTTCAAAATGATAGATCTTACTTTCCATCTTTGGATTGCTTTGGGCTACAGAAATATTACCACCGAACCTACTGAAAGAATTGTCTATTTCTACCCCCATCCCCTGTAAGTATTAATGAAAAAGAATGCTCAACTTCCTATACAGCTTCCTGTCCAGAAGGCATAGTTGGCTGTGATGGAGGGAAATGCATTCCAGAATTTCTGATGTGTGATGGGAAATTTGACTGTGCAGATGGCACTGATGAACTCAGCACATGTGGTAAGAAACCACTTCCTCAGCTTAAGATGGGAAAACAGGATTGAATAGCTAATGCCTTCGTTACTGTATTAATTGCTTTTGTCTTTGCTGTAACAAAATATCCGACAGAAACAACTTAAGGGAGAAAGATTTATTTCAGCTAACAGTTCAGGGAATGTAATACATCATTGTTAGGAAGGCATGGTGGAGGGTGCTCAATCCAGGGTGGCAGGCATTTGTTGCTGCCATTTCTCACATCTTGGCAGACCAGGAAATGGAGAACTCAGGATGGAAGTGGGACTAAGGCTCTAATTCTCCAGGGCTTGCCCCCAGTGTTTCACTTTGTTAGCTAGTCCCCATGTCTCAAAGATCCCTCAACCTCCTAAAACAATGCTACCATCTGGGGACCAAATATTTAATTAAATATATGAGCCTATAAGACATGTTTTAGATTCAAACCATAACAATTTTCAGAGGGGTCAACTCCTTGAGAAAATGCTTGGAATAAAACCCATACATTCAGTTACCTTTCATTCCTTTTTTTCCTCTCATTTTTACAACTGGCTTTGGTGTTGTGAGTGTGAGCAAATACTACCTAACTTTTAAACCTCCAGAGGCTAATCTCATTTTGCAGTTTTAAGGAAAGGGACTAGATAAATACCTCAAACTATATTGCTTCTGAAATTCTAATATAAATCCAGAATGTATCTTCAAATATTGGTGGCATCCATGTCACAAGAAACTCCACACCTTCTGCTTAGGCTAAACCATTTGTTAGCAATGCTCAGATTAGATTAATCCAGAGATCCCTCTACAGGGAACCTTTGCCATTCCTGGTACACACAATTCCTTTTGTATTTAGGCAGAGATTTTAAATGTCTCAACACAACTTTGCAAATTGAGTACAAATAAAACCACTAAATCATTGGAAGCAACACAAATCATTTGGCAAATATCGGGTGGAGAAGTGAATCATTTTAAGAAAATAGAATCCTCTAAGGATTTAATTGAGAAAGAAATCAAAAGAACTCCTTCCTGGCAAGGAGACAAGCTACTCAAAAGCAGGTCTGATTTTTTAACCCTTCTGGTTCTCGCTATAAGAGCTGGTTTTTGACCAGGTAGAGAAGGAGAGAGTGGGCATCTCACCTCAAGTCATTTTGTCATCTGTCTCCTATTCCTCCGTCCCCCAAATATGACCTTAAATATGTATGATGAAAATACTTTAGTGTTATTAAAGGCTGCTGAGGAAACTTTGTACTAGAGAAACACATGAAAAAAATTCTAAAAGCACTAAAGATAAGACAAAGTATAGGTTTTTGGTCCTACTAGATAGTTTATTTGTATTCACAAATCAGTGCATCACTTCCTAAGGTTAACTTCCTTTCCCATGTATCCCAGAGAAAACAGATAAGAGGGTCTTGGTCTTGTCTCTATAGAAGCACAATAAACACACAAGCACTTGAAATTACTAGACACTTGGCCTACAAAGAAATGCCTCTGCCCTGCTCCTAGGATTTCTCTTGCCCCTTCCACATTTCTAGGCCAGAGGATAGGGTCAAAGATTGTTCATAATTAGTCATCCATTCCTCACCTAGTACAGAAGGTATAGGACACAACTTGGTTTGTGAGATGTTGATCTCCAGTAAGTTCACTGGTTTTGACCACTGTCCTATTTCTATAGGTAGAAACTGCTCCCTGCTGAATGGAGGCTATGAGGGACTGTGTAACCACACCCACTGGGGTGTCGAGTGCTCATGTGGATCAGGTTGATAGTTACAGCCTGATGGATGGAGCTGTGGAGGTCAGAACTCACCTGGATCAATTTTGGAAATATCCTTTTTGTGGCAACATAGATACCACATGATTGTAGCATATTAACCATTCAGTATACCTTTAATTAGTCAAATACATTCACAATATTGTTATGCACATTGCCACTGTGAATTTCTAGAACTTTACATCATTCCAAAGAGAAATTCTCTCTCTGTTGAACAATAGCTCTGCATGCCCCTCTCCCTTACCCTCTGATAACCTCTACTGAGTTTCTGTTTCTGTGAATTTGCATATTCTAAGTCACTCCATATGATGGAATCATACAGTATTTGTCCTTTGCATATCACGTCTCTAGGGTTCATCCATGTGTCAGAATTGCCTTTTTTTGAAAGGCTGAATAAGATTCTATCACATGTTTATGTTACCTTTTACCTAATTAGCTATTGATGGAACAGTCACATGGTTTCTGACTTTTTATTGTGGATCATACTGGTATGAACATTAGTATGCATGCATCCTTGTGTCAGTTATCCTGGTGTATTTCAGGAGTAGAATTTCCGGACCATGCATATTTCCACCAGGAATGCGATTCCAGTTTCTCCACATATTTGCCAATTCTTTGCAATTGTAGGAATTACAAGTTAATTATTGACCAAAGATAAAGCATTAAATTTAGTATCCATAACTTAATGGAGCTTTTTAAAATTTATACCTTTTGGCTTCTATCAAATATTCTTGTCATTTCATGGCCAACACCTAGGTCTGCAACACCCATGGCAGGACAGATTGTGCAGTTCAGGCTCATGTAGTTTTGTCATTGCTTGTTCCTTGTAGCTGACCTTCTCCAAGTTATTCAATCCTCAGGTCTCATTTCTTTCCTTTATAAAATGGGATTGTGGTGACAGAATGACTAAGACAAATTTGACATGCCTTCATTTTTCATAATAAGTGAAAAGCTTATGGTTAGTAACCTATAGTGAACCTAGGCACTAATACTTGTCATTCTAATAGACTCTGACTTCATTGGCAAATGGTAAATACCAAGGCTGTTGCTATGTTATCACAGGTAATATTTTATACCAGCCAAATATCAGGGTTCCATATACTGAACTTCTGCTAGGTGATATTCACAGGACTGGGAATTCCATGGTGATAGACATTAAAGCTATAATTCTTGATCCACCTCTAATTTATGGTTCTCTGCCATCAGATGTAGATGAGTGTTCTCTGGCATATGGTCGTTGTGGTCAACTATGTCATAACATACCAGGCTCTTATTCCTGTGATTGTATTCAAGGTTACCAGCTCTATAATAGCACTGACTGTCGAGTTACAGGTAAGTTCTATTGCCAAAGTAAGATCTATCTTCTACCCTGTTCTTAGTAGTAATTATAGAGAAAAGTGACATATATTATTTATTTTAAAGTCAGTAATATAGATGACTCTATTCTTTCCTTAAAGAAATCCATTGTGACAATTACTGCCCAACTGGAATGGCAATTGCATTGAGTGTCTTTACAATGACATAGTTACAGTGTTGGCTCAAGAAATAGGTCCTCCAGAGTTCACAATGCACTTTTAACTTGGCCTGTGCTTCTTTGCCATGGAGACATTCACATTAGATTACTATGTGCCAAGAATGGATAGAAGTTCTGTCCAGGTGAAAGGAGCTGAATCTGAAATCAAATAAGGCAGGATTGTTCCAAAGATTATCACTAAAGTGCTAAAACTCAGGGGAAGAATGAAGAACTAAAAGGGTCCATTAGATCTCTGAATATGCTTCATTTATCAATTAAGGACAAGTAGATCTGGGTGTGGGAGATAGGATAGCATCTTTAGCTAAACAAAAAGGCATAAAAGAAAGCTTCAAAATAATAGGTTACTGCTTTCCTTCTACTGCAGATGATACTGTTAAAATTCTTATAGCAGCTGATCAAGAGCTTGGTACACTGGATCGAAAAACAGGCATCTATGAGACGCTGATTCCTACAAAATCAAAGCCTGCTTCTGTTGCATATGACTTGGACAGAAACATGTACTTCTGGGCAGATGATGTCTTAAATGTGTTTGTCCTTGGGAAGCCAAACTCTGTTCCTCTATACCCAGGTATATTTTTTGGCATTAAGTGTTAACTTCTTAAAGCTACTTAACAAAGTTCTTGAGATTACTGATTTGAAACAAGATAAAAGTCATGTCGGGCTCATAGTTTTGGAAAGTTCAGTCCATGTTGCCCCTGTTGCTCTCAGACCTGCGAAAAGGCAGCACAATATGGTGGGTGTGTATGAGTGTGAATGGTGGAGGCTAGATACCCCAGAACAGCAAAGAAGCAAAGGGAGAGGACAAAACCAGAATCCCAGAATTCCCTTCAAAGGAATACCTCCTGAATGACTTAACATATCCTACTAGTCCCCCCTCCACTTAAAGGTTTTTACTATCTGCCAATAGTGCCACAGGGTGGAGACCAAGTCTTTAACATACTGGCCTTATTCAAACTATAGCACTGCCTTACCACAGTGTAAGAAATGTATATATCGGGGTGTGAATATATAATATAATATAATATAAT